GGGGGGGGGGGGGGGGGGGGGGTACTCATAGTCGTGCATGCCGTAATCGTTAGACCATTGACCTCGCATCCCTACAAAGCCGGGGGTTGCGAAAACAAGAAATAAACTACCCTTGAAATATGTTCCCTCCCGTATCACCCCGACTGGTACTCCACACACGTGTGCCGAACGGTGTAGACTGGCACCAGAATAATGGTAGGTGGGACGAAAACACCCTCAACACACGCTGAATGGAGACTTGTATCCAACACACACCTGTCTTCCCTGCCCTCGTAAACAACGAAAATCGCAGTGCGTACACCTGCTGCCGCGCTCTCTCGACATCGTATTTTGATTGAGCAATCTAAGCTGGCATGGAGAACAATGCCGTTTCTAGGCCTGTACTCCGTAGGCGATTTTTTCCGCGATTATACAGATACACTTATGTTCCTTTTAGGAATATGTTCAATGTATTGAACACAATGGACGACAAAAGTACAACGCAATAGCCAATAGCCTACGGAGTACTGGCCTAGTGGTTACCGCTGGCGTGTGTCTCAAGCACGAAACGGCGCATGACTCACCGCTTTGTAGCCCAAGGGCAGACGCATTCCAACGGGGATGCAATAGGTAGATGAATGGAGTATTAGCCCAAACCAGACGCGTTCAAAGGGGGTGCCGATAGATGAAAACAGGAGCATGCTTTATGGAAATAAACAACGATGGAGCAAGATCCGAAAGAACCGAAGCAAACTGTCGCTCAAGAGACATGGGTCGGTCCACACGGAGAGAGTGCTGCGATGGCGGCCGGGTGGCATTGCTTCTCTCTAGCCTCCTCGTTCGCCCAAACCTCTGTGCCTTACAACTTCCTACTCTGACCAAACCTTCCGCGAAAGTTCCCTGCCTACGAATACTCCCGTAGGAAATAAAGCGGCCGTTCTCTGCTACAATTACCCATCTGGACAACCACCGGCGTGGCTCGACAATCACGGGGACCCCTACTCTCACCCCTTTGAGTTCCTGCTGTGTCCAAACCTTTCGTTTGTGTTCTCTATGGATGACGAACAACACCAGATTAGACGACGGGTCTCGGTAACCTCATCCCCCACTCCGCCCCAACACGCGCGGGATCGCTACATCAGGATCGCAAATGCGCAACAGCAAGGAGGGGGTGCTGGCGATGTACATGGACATGGGCACGCTCGACGGCATAGCCAAGCTCTTCAGGGGAGACGGTATCCTCTTGCCCGCCTGGGTGCACTACCTGGCGTTCGACCTGGTGGCGGGGCATTACCTCGTCCAGAAGAACATGGAGTGAGTGGAGCTCTTCTTGGCGTTGTATGAACTATGGTGTCCGTGCCACGGCCTCTGGCATGTCGCGTTGTTGCTGCTGCTGCTGTTGATGTTGTTGTTGTTGTTGTTGTTGTTGCTGTTGCTATCCAGTGACTCCCTCTGTCAGTGCTGATGAAGCACTTGCGGTCGACAGAGTGTTTCTCGTTTTGCGCGGGAGAGTGACAGGTTTGTTGTTGCAGAAAAAATACGGTAGGCGGGGCGTGTGTGTGTATTGAGCTATGCCGATGGGTGCCCACGACAGCATCTGGATCAATTTGAGGGTTTCATCTAGACCAATTCCATCTACTCTGTTACAACAACCACTCCGACCCCCCCCCTGCGCTTTCCTGGTGGCTTTTTTTCGTGTTTTGGTGTTTGGTGCATGAGAATGTTTTCACTCGTTTTTTTCTTTGGATCTGACGCCGATGGTTTCCTTCCCGTGTCATGACCGCTTCTTTCGAAAACAGAGACCCGAACGGCCTGTCCAAGCTCGCCATGGCCCCCTGCCTCTTCCTCAACATAATGGCCGGACCGACGGGGATGCTGCTGTACGTGGTGCTTCGAGCGGCGTCGGACTGCATCAGTGGAAAGTGCTGCTCCAAGGGACCCGATAAAACTTCCTGAAGAACGCCGTTTCGATGAGCTTCGGTCCCACGCGAGAAAACACACGGCAAAACAACGGTAGTAATCAATGTCGATTGATTCGCCGTAACCTCGGTAGTCTCTCGTGTTAAAGAACAATGTCGATCGATTTGTCGTATCTCGGAGATCTCTCGTAGAAGTATTACAAGAGCAATGTCGATTGATCCACCGTAACTCGGTAGTCTCTCGTGTGAAAAGGGGAAAAGTCGGTTGAGTCGTTGTTCTCGCGTGTGCTCCTCCGCCTGACCGCAGCCGAAGACTCCTCCTGCTCCTTCGCGAAGCTGTCATGCGCAGCTCGTCCCGCATAATAGAGGTGACACCCGCACATCGTACAATAGGTGTGCGCGATAGAAAAAGGGGGAGAGGGGCAATACATACCGAGGCGGTGATTTCGCTCGGGGTTTTTGCGCGCGTGACCGTTGGCGCGCACGGCGATGGTTAACGGGGGGGGGTGGGGTGCTCTGAGATTTGGCGACAATAACGGAAGTGATGCTAGAGATGGAATGAACGATCACACCTAAAGAGAAAGGCGGTACTTTTCCGGCATACACGGGTGACAATGTTTCCCTGCAATTTGGTGGGTGTGCTGGTGAATCCGTACCCTGCCATTTTTTCAGGGACGCTGGGGGCGGGCGGAGGGGTAGACGGGATTTTATTTTTTACCTCGGAAGGGAGGAGGGCTTTCCGCGTGCATCATTTGGATTTGGAACCGCACACATGACTCGGTGGTGGAGAATGGGGAGCAAAGAATAGGTGTGTGTTGTGTCTACTCCGATTTGATTGATGGGAGTGTGCGGTTCGCGTACGACGTTCGTTCGTTTGTGTCTCACCTGCCGGTAGCCTGAAGTGTTCTGGGTGTAGGAAGGAAAGCCTGCACCGTAGAATCCCCCCCCCCCCTCCCTCCCTCTAGGAGATCAACAGTAGAAACGATGCCCGTATGCATATCGTATGGGGGCGTGATTAGTGTCCAGCAGACGTTTTGAGGCAAGCACGAAGTGAAAAAAAACCCGCTTCCCGCCGCCCTTGCGCTGGGTCTTGCTGTGCCTGTCTGGTAAACTTTTCGAACGGCTTTTCTTGTTTCTGAGTATCACTTAACTGGGGTGCCAGTTTACGCGCTATGCGTTGGCATTGGCCAGACCCCCCCTTTTCCCCCCGTCCTGGCAGCCTCGGTGGGTGTGTACAGTACAGTTTGAAGAGGAATCATTGTAGGTGTAAAAAAGATTGAGTGCCTGCAGTTTTCTTCTTCAAATTTATCCGAGCAAAACATGGAGCTTGCCGTCTGGCCTACGTGTTGCTGTGAAGGAGTGGATGCAACCATGACGCCGTGTTTGGGGTTCCCAAGATAAGACGCCCTGCTTGGGCATCGAAGAGGGACCGGAGTGTTGAAAACTCGACGAAAAATGTTGCCTGTGCGTCTCTCTGCAGCAGCGAGGTGCTTGGGCCCTTCGCCGCCGCTCTCGGCAAGAAAAACCTACGGTACGCAATGGATCCTACTAGTCCGTAGTCTAACTACGTTTGCTCTGATCCCACAAAGTTCACCGGCAAACGATTACGCTTCGGATTGGTGAAAAAACTTGCTGAATTTGTTCAATTTTTGTTTGCCCGCACTCCCATGGCAGTTGGCACATGAACATGATAGACTGCTGTGGTGACCAGTGGGGTTGTCCAAATCGGCCGACGCCCCTCAGCGGCGTGTGAGATGTCCCCCGAAAAGAACCTCGTTCTTATAACCTTTGCCGTGTCGCATTCATTCGGCGCGTGATGTGGTCATTGCAAAGTCGACGCCGGAGGCAACGAATATTGGTACCCGTAGGTGACACAAGATAACACACACCGTGAACCGGTTTTCACAACTCGATTGCTCCACAGCAGATGAGTGGTGGCGCCGAAAACAGGGGTGTTGAAGTCCTCTCGTCGGGAGCTGATTGTTTACAAAGGCGAGCCTATCAGCCCTTTGTAAAAAAAAGTTGTGAACGCGGGTTCGAATCGCAGGTGGGACACTTTTGAGGAACCAAGAGAACATGTAGTTTCCATCAGCAGGGCGTATCGAGGGGGCCACTGCTGTCCCAGCTGGGAGGCCAAGAGCTTTATATCATGCTTCGGAAGTGTATTTTGTTTACAACGGGTTGGCCATTTAGACCACTCAGTCAGCGGCTGACTGAGTGGTCTAATAGAAAAGCCTTTGTAAACGCAGATTCATCCTCTTCGTCGTGGAGTAATCGAGCTTTGAATAACGGTCTAGGAGGGGGGGGGGGGGGGGGGGG